CACACACACACACACACACACACACACACACACACACACACACACACACACACACACACACAAAAAAAAAAAAAAAAAAACACCACCTCGGGCTCGTAATTAACCCCAATTCAAGAGATCAAGTGCTACCATTACCTTGAAATGTGAGTAAAATTGTGAGAGCGAGCTCGAGCTGCTCGAMGTTAGCGCATGAATCATCAGGAGAGGACGGACTGGATACTGTCTAAATTTCTGCCTTCGGCCTGATGGGGATCAAAGTCAGCTGGAGCAGAAAAATCAATACACCTCCTGACTCTGCTGAACAGAGCTGAAGCTACAAACAACAAGAAGATGTGTTGTAGAAACCTCTCACAGGCTTTACCTCCATTTAAAACAAGCAGCCTGGTATGTGGACAGAAAAAAAACAACAAACAGCTGATCGTCTAAAATCAGTGTTTGTGTGATCTGGAGAAAACACAATGAGTGTATTTCAGCTGCTACAAGCCTCGGTATTTGGAGTAAGAGTGTTACGCAACAGAGCTGAGCTGGCCGCGACATTCTGGACCACACGCTCTCCAGACCCCCCTCCTGCCTCTCCAGATATCTGCTACAGAGAGAGTCAGAGTCCTTATCGAAGCTGAAACATTATCACAGCCGGGGTAAAAACTCAGCTCCGCTCTTTGAGATGAGGACAGTCCTGTACACGTGTGGTTCAGTTCAGAGGCGGAAAATATCTCGTGCACCACTGGAGAGGTTTTAATGAAACTCGTAGAGCTACAAAATGATTATGTTTGAGCTTCAGCTGAGCCACTTTAGCAAACACAAATATAGCTCTAACAGATGTCGGGCTAAAATTTAGTCTGTGTCGGCGTGGTCTCGCTAATCAGCTAACAGCTAATAGTGGAAGAAATTTTTTTCATTTTGCAGATTAGCTTTTTCACTAACTTTGAAAACTGTTAGCGGTCAAGCTAGCTTCAGCTAAATAAAGTTTTGTCAACTTTAAGTCCGCTAACAGCTAGCTAACAAGCTAACATCAACAGGTTTATGTCAGTCCCACCARTCTTCAGCTCCAAAGAGACAAAGATGTGTGACWGACTGAGTGACAGTTGTCTTAGCGGTTAGCTKTTAATGTTAGCTTCTGCTAATTTTTACATGCATAATTGTTTAGTGTTTGCTTGAAGCTAGTAGTGGGCTTCACTGATGCTGTTATGAGCCATCACTCTCTTACCTGCAGACTTTAGCATGATCTCAGCTTGGAGAATCAAAACAAAAACTCAAAACCTCCAAAATGTCTTAAAATGTTACGTAAACATTATTTTACTAACCCATGTTTTGTTTGAGAGATGCAGAACATAACGCATCAAATTTACACAGCTACAGTAAAAGAAGAAAACCAGCAACAAATTTGCTGCTCTAAGTAAATTAAATAGATGTTTAACTTGTTTTAGACTACAAGAATTTATGGTTTGATTCTCCAAACTTAGATTGTTCAGATGGGTGTCTACTGCAGGTAAGATACTGACTACTGACTGACTGTTTAGAGATGAATACAGGGGGGAAATCAATGCCATGTTTCAAAGATTTGTTTGTTTACCTGATTTGTTAATTTAAGGCTGTTTAAAAGTTCCAAGGTCACCAAACTCRGTAAACACAACCCTAATGTTCTTACTGTCTATTAGATTCATAAAACACATATAAAGGACAAAATGATGATTGAATAGTTCTGTGATGTTTAAATGTTTTAAACATTAGAAAACAGCAAAGACTTAATACCTGTGGTGGACGGCGTTTCAGAGAAGACACTGTCCAGCTGGGACACGGCAGCGTATCGATCCTGACTGTTGGAGCTGCTGACCGGTGGGGTCGTCTGGCTGACGGAGGCCGGCTGCTGAGGCTGCTGAGGCTGGGACCGAGACTGAGGCAGGGGCTGTGTCTGAGGATGGCTCAGACCTCCAAAGTCCACGCTGACCGACTTGGGGAAGGCTCTGAAGGGCCCCGTGGTCCCCGAAACCGACACCGTACGACCTGAGAGCGAAGCAGCAAGAAGGTTGGAAGAAGTGTAAACTTTTCTAATACTAAAGTACCAGATTAAATCCTCTCCAACTGTCAATCTGAGTTTTTTTTTTTTAATTTATTTTTTTGAATTGTGAAGTAAAATACCCACAACCAGAGGTGGGTACAGCTAACTGCCAATTGGCCAACTAAAAAAGTAGCTTTGCTAATGCTAATTGATAACAGCTAACTCAAGGCTTGTCATTTAAACATCCACATCCCATAAAAACATTTATACGTCCATCAACCACAATTAAAACCACAAGCAGTTAAAAATGGTAAACAGTAAAGACGCTACGAACACACGAGCGCATGACACAGGCAAGAAAACATTTTTTTTTTGCCAGCAGACCTAATGTTAGCAAAATTAAATTTAGTGGAAGCAAACTGGTCCGCTAACAGTTTCCAAATGCTAATCCGCTGAACAAAAAGTTAGATTTGCAATTAGCGGTTAGCGGATTAGTAGAACTGTGCCCACCACATGAAAATGTTGGAGTAAAAACAACAATAAAACCGTAACACGTTATAATGAGACAGTTTTCTCGTTTTATGAGTTTCTGAGATACAAACAATAATTTTACGTCCTGTGACAGCTCTATACTTCCATAACATCTACACTAATCTGGATATGTTCATATGGTTGTTGTTTTTTTTACATGTTTTTGTATTTTTTTTCTACTTACGGAAGTGTTTACTTGATTTTATCTTATTGTATTTTTATCCTGTCGTGCAGCACTTTGGTTGCTATTAGCTGTGTAAAGTGCTATACAAATAGTTTTGATTGATTGATTGATTGAAAAAGAGATTTCTTGAGGTAAATATTTTCCTAAATGGAGATTTCTTTTTCTTGTTTTTCTCTTTTTTTTTTTTTACAAAACATGTGACCTGTGCTGGCAAATAAATGATGTGAAGAAATCCTCATTAGATGTTAAAAAAAGGATTCATACWGATTTTCCAGAGGTTGTCCTGATTAGCAAACAAATCAAACAGTATCTCTGGATAATCTCTTGAAAAGGTGTTTAGTTTAGTTTGACTAATGTATTTCCTGACTTGTTGTGACAGGTTGCAGATTTATTGCTTTTACTTCTGCTCTGTTTTATTGCTTCCTTTGTAAAACGATGCCGTTTGTTTCCAGAATCAATGCATTTTCTGTATTTTGTGTCACAACAGCGTCGACAGAAATGCGTTCGGCCCCATCAGATGTACGACTTCAAACAGAAGCAAATGATGCTAATCTAAAATGTGCATGCCCCAGCAGCAGCAGGACAAGCAGGGTGTGTAATAAATACTGTTAAGCATTAAAGAAAACAAAAAAAAAAGTGCGATGGGAAGCTGAAATGATRAAAAAAGCAGCAGGAAATCAACATCACTGCATGGAGCAAAGAAAGAGCAGCCGCAGGGCGTGGTGCTATCAGCTGTTAGCATGAAGACGGAAATGAAAATCCATTTTTTCCCTGAGGAGTCGGAGATGGAGAGCAGGCTTGGCCTGTTTCAGATAAACCCCTGATACAAAGCACGATGAAGTCCGACTGCGTGTCTCTGGCCTTTGATGTCCTGTGAGTCTGTCTCAGAGAACATACCTGAAGTGAGATTACAGCTGCGCCCTACATAGTGCTTCAACACCGAAGTGGTGAGAAATACCAGCCTGTGCCTAAAAATAGCCTAAAACTTGTTCTTTCCCCTGTCGAGGAGCTCTCTGACACATCTCCTCGACCCTTTCCCGTCCAACACCTGACACACGCATAAAGATCCTGACCCTGATGTCAGAACTGAGCTGAACCCCACATGCACGTGAGCCACGGCATACACAGCCAGCAGGCAGGAAGAGCTCATCGATTCACTCAACACAACACTCAGAGKCGTCGGCTCTTACCTAAAGTGAAGTGGTTTTTGAACGAGCTGCTGGCTACGAGGTTGGAGGACGTGAGATGGACAGGAAGAGAAAAGACAAGAGGAAAGAGTCACTGATGACATATCGAACCATCCTCCCTGCAGCCGCTTCAGTTTACTGGGATATAAAAGCAACACAGYAGATTTTTTTTTTTTGTTTTGGCCATAATTGAGATTTACGTAGAAATTTGCCCCTAAAGACATCATTTAATAATCTGAGCAACAGGAAGACTTCTTAATCTGTTTTCAAATTAGACATTAATTTGAATCTTTTAAATTGCTTCAAAATTAATAAATTTTCTCTTCCAGGAAATCCCTTCGTATAATGTGAAGCTTGGGGATTCCCCATTTTAAATACAAAGCTAGAACTACCAGTGACGTCACACCAGACCAATAAAAATCCAGTTGTCTAACTTTCGAACACTTTTGCTAACAAAACTAGCTGTTTGTTTGGTTATAAATCACCAAATTTTAACAAACTATGCCCCGTTTAAAAACTTTTGAGACAGAAAATAAAAAATAAAAAACATCGAAATGAAATATATGTATTTCAAAATATAATAATTCACTGCCACATTATTGCCACATTACCAACCATTACATATCTTTCACCATCTTGTATACAAAATGTTTTGGTCTTGAGCAATCTGTCAGTTCTCAGAGTCAGTGTCGGGGATGACTCTCTCAGCTACTGCCACAGCAAAATGGAGGTTATACCTGTAAAAATGAGTGGCAGCCATTTATTTGACTGTGTTCATTTAGCTATAGAGGCCATCTTGACTGAAAGTCAAACCTTTAATTTCTGATCTCATACAAATCCATCAATTGGTTCATGAGATATTTTGATAACAGACAAACAAACATATGCACACACAAGCATGATTAGTTATATATTGTAGGGGTCACCTCGAGTGAAGAAACAAGGTTTACTGCCTCGAAGCAGGCCTCGAACAGGTCTGACGAGAGGACAGGAACTCTGTCACAAACTGAACTCTATTTAGGCCATGACAGGTCATCCTAACCGTGGAAGAGAACCTCTCAGTTCTCTTAATCAGATAATGGACAGAACAATCTCTTCTGTTCGTGATTCATTTGTTGTTTAACTAAGAATGTTTATGCATTTGTTAAATCATGATAATGACTGTCACAGGAAAAGTGGAACCACTTCTTTTCTTTTATCGTGCCTTAAAGATTTATAATGGTATAAAAAATCACAAAGAATCTGATTACAATGTTTTCATTGTGTTTTTATGTAAATCACTGTTTTTATTTTACTGTGAACACAGTAATATAATTGTGGATTTTTCCTGAGAAAATCTTTCATTTATCTGGACTAACAGAAGGTTCAGAGCTGATTATAAAACAGAAATGTTAATTAATCACCATAAATGTTTTGCAATGATTTCTCTTAGAGTCTATCAGAAGAAAGCTGAAAAAAGGTTATGTGAACAGCCATAGAATTTTAACCTTGGGCTGGCACCCTGGCAAATCTTTTATCTTTCTTTCTCTGACTCATCTCTAAGCCTGAGGGCGGAACCAATGTTCGTCAGTTTCTTTTACTAACCCGGACAGCTTTGAGCGACACACTCTTCTTCCTGATTCCAACCTAGGAAGACAGCTGGGATTCTCTCCSGAGAAACCTCAGTTTTGGCTTAAAGTCTGATCCCATGAGCTAATTAGGGAAGACTTCACAGCCAGGGACCCGGCACGCCTGCCGGTGGTCTCAAMCCGAGGCCGAGCCTCTAAGTGTGTTTTTAACTCCCGAGGGGAGATTTTATTTTGGAAGGAGGAACCGGATACGGCTTGAATTTTTCTGGCTTGGACTGAAATAGATGAAAGTTACCTGGAAAAACACCTGTTCGCTGATGACCGGTAAGTGAGCCGACATCAGTTCCCTGACTAATCGGAGGCGAGCCAGTTTCTACCCCGAGGGTGCCTTAAGAAGCCATCACCAGGTAAAATGATGTGTTCGGAGTGACGTGTCATGTGGAACCTGAGCTTAGAAAAGACGTGCAGTTCCGGTTGACCCACACTTTGATAAAAGTAAAAGTMGTAGTAACATACTAATCTTACTTTCCTCCTTTCCTTGTTCTTAATTTGCCAAAACTTATGCTAAAGTGCCAGTAAAATTGTTTRGTTGTTAACATCAGAACTGACGTTTTACTATTCTATATAAGTAATCTGAGTTAATGTGAATTGAAATTTGGACGCGGGTTTTATCTCATTTAACTCTGATGCTTGTTATAGGAATAACCACAATCAAGTGTAACTTATGATCTGTTCAATTTGTGTAAATAAATGATTGTCTTTTATGAATCAACTTGAACTCGTCTGAACGTTCACTTATTGTGTCACTTTTCACTTCGCACAGTCAAGATATTAACAAGTAATGAGAAATACCTTGGTAAAAGTTTCCTCATAAACTTGTGCATGAGAGACGTGGGAGAAGCTTAATTCACCTTAAGCTCACTCTTACAATATACTCAAGCTTGTTTCTGGTCAAGACTGGGGAAAACTGGTGTATTTTCTAGTAAACATGTGGAGCTAAAATGRGGCCATAAAGTAAAAAAATAAAAGAAATATTGAAAATTTTGCTATTAAAAGAAAGGAATGTGAAATAAAGATTTGAAAATAATAAGTACTTGTATCATATATCTAAATATGTATGGTATGTCGTAGCATATAATTAACAATATATGGCAGGCCATTATCAAATAAATTAAAAATATGGTAAGTTATTATATAATTAACATTCAAGGCAGGCCTTTGTGTCATATAATTTAAATGTATGACAGGTTGTTGTATCATATTTTTAATAATACACGCAGGCCATTGGATCATATAATAAAATATATGGTGGACTGTTGGATCATATAATTAACAATATATAGCAGGTGGTTGAACTACATAATCAAAACATATACAATATATATTTTTAGGTTCAAAACAGTTTAGTTTCAAAATTGTTTCTCTGTTTCAAAATCTTTCAAATATTTCTTCCAGTTTAAAAAAAAGTTTTTTTTTTTTTTTTTACATTATGGCTCCAATTTAGCTCCTTATAACTGCAGCAACATTTAAATAAATGCTTAATCACAAAAAAACATTCCTGTGTGGATGGTCTCCTAGTTTGAACTGAGGAAAAAAAAACGTCCAAATAAATAAATAAATTTACCCCAGAATATTTAGAGGGGAAATCAAATTAATTCATCTCTTTCTGCCATCCAGCACTGAAACTCTTCCCAGTTCTTTCAGTGTTATCAGAACATCTTTAGTTGTTTTATTTATTTTAGGATAAAGGAGAACAAAGCTGACCTGAGGGCCGTGGGAGGGCGGGGAACGATGGCGCGTGGCTCTGACCCCCCAGAGACAGAGAGCCCGGTCGTTGGCGTTCTATACCACACAGAGAGGAATCTGCACCACAGAGGAAAAAATCAAACAAACACGTGACGAAGCCGATAACCCGCAGAACCGTTCTACAGAGATCTGAGCACTGACCTTTCAGAGGGGGGTCTCTGAAGCTTTGGGAGCGGGACGGTCGAGCCGTGAACGCGTCCATCCTCATGTCGGCGGGCGAGATGGCGGGAGCTCGATCCCAGGATGGCAGCTGGGACTGAGACTGGAGGAAACCGAGACAAGGTGAGTCTTTTTCATCTTTTCTCAATAATTCAGAGGCGAGGCTTTGATGTTGAGRCTACCTCTGCCTGTCCAACCTGTTCAAGTCAGGTCATCTCCTCACCTAATCTCTTTTTTTTTCATCACAGCGCTCTTTGAACACCTCACTGCCTTCATTTCCTCTTTTTATTCTAAATTTTTCTTTCACTTCTGCTCTCACTCTTTCTCCTGCCTCGATTTGAATCTAAACCCTGTGCACRTCCTCCTGGTGTAACCTCTCACCAGCGGTCGTGTTGATCTGGCGTTCGGGGGTAAATTATGGGATGGRCCCTGGCTCGTTAGGAGGCCGTGAGAAGACGGCATGGCCTGGACTCCTGGACTCCAGGGACCCTCCACATCCCTTCGGTTTTTACTTTTGGAAAAATGCCTGCAAAAATACAAAAAACAAACAAGAAGCATAAATGAGTCTGAGTCACTCACAGGTCATGAAAAATATAATTCAGGCTTGATTTTTGCTATATGTACACATGATGAACAGTAAATATCTTACCTGTTGGAGAGACCATTACATGACAAGCTAATTGCTAATCCAGGCAAAGCGGATTGAATGGGACTAAATTTTGCCTTACATAATTACTTACGTAGYATTTTATGGTTATTTGCAMGAGCAAATAGTAGCAGCAGCAGCTAGCTGTAGCAACTCCAGCAGAATATTATATGTATTGTCTGAATGACAACACACCGTGAAATTATTAGCCATACTAGCCATGTATGAAAAGCGCTAATTTCTTTTTAGATTTTAGCTGTTTCAAAACTGCAGAGATCTACTTTGGTTTCTAACTGGCAATAAGCTCATCRGTCAAGTCATAAAGAAACTATTTCCCCAAACTGAGATCTTACCTTCAACAAGTAACACATTAGTTGTTCTTATTTTTTCCACAGAACTCCATTTTAAAAAAACCAAACTACTCCTTTAACTAATAAATCATTGAGGCTTAAAACAGGAGTTTGAATTTCRGCAGAAAAGAAGCCATTAGAGTTAATCCACAGCTGAAAACTGTGTGTAAATCACATCAACGAGGGCTCTCACGCTGTGTGTGACTCTAATTCTGAGAATGAGTTTTCACGCAGTCTTCACACCTCAAACTAATCGGACTGTGAAAACTCCCWAAGTCACAAATCCAACTGTTCACGTGAGAAAACACTGAGCAGATTCTGAAGACTGACTCTGAAACAAGAGCTTTTGTGACTGAAGTACTACTAAAATTAGGAAATAATATTTGAATCATTCAGGTTTTTTTTTACTCTTTTATTTTTGTCTTTTAAAGTTCTCCTTCGCTTCCCATTAATTTCTTCTGTGCTTCTAATAATGAAAATCTAAACAAGGTGTGAGATTTAAAATGTGTTYCTGAAATCAGGCCACCAATTAATGCAGAAGCAGACCGACTGTGTACAAACAGAGGAAATTCAGCCATTGTTTCTTCTTCCTGAAGTAGCTGATCCACAAAGATTACTTCAAAGAYCACGATGGCTGCTGTCCACAAAGTCACAAAGAGGTCCAGAGTGACCGGTACAAAACTAAATACATGTTTCAGATTGAGTTTGGTTCAAGTTTAGAAGCACAAGAAGAAAAACACTGGTGTCCTATCAGGAAGCCACTGTTCTCCTAAAAGTTTATTGCTGCAGTTGATGCAGACCTCATGGACCTGCCAGATGATCAGGGGCGGAGCCAAAGCCAACCCAACTGCCACTTGGCCAGCAGAATTTTGGTGAAATATTTCTATTCATCAAACTGCACCACTCAGATAGGYAATTCTCATTATGTAAGTCAACATGGTACTCACTGCCTAAGTAAGTAAATGAGAGAATAACCAAGAAACATGACTGAATCATTGGCAAACTGCCATGTAGGAAAAAACATTGGTAATTTTTCTGGGTCGTCCATGTGACCAGTGGTTCCAGTCTGGCTCCACCACTGCGGATGATAGAAAACCAAAAGATTTTGGTTTAAATAAGGAATTCAGATAGTGAATGTGCTATACTTGTATAGCGCTTTTCTAGCCAACCAGGCTAGTTAAAGTCTTGTTGGCACATCAGAGGTAATGAGGRGTTCTGGTTGTTGCCCAGGGACACTTCCACACATTACTACTTACTGGTGGAATCAAATCTCCACCTCTTTAGTTGGAGGACGACTGCCGCCCACCAAACRTCTCCAACATTTCAGCATGAAAACCTGATCTACTGCAGCAATGATAACATCCTGGTGTGGGGTTGTCGACATCCGTCCATCTCAGAAGATGACGGTAGAGCATTGGCTGATCATTGCCCATCATGTTGGGAGCAACGTCTTGAGTGAATCAACAGTCTGACTCTGACATGGCAGTCGTGGCCACAGTCGACGCTGACAGAAGCTGTCAGTGAAAAAAACACCTGCGACTGTCGTCTGTCTTTCAGCTGCTGGTTGTGGCGCTCCTCATTCTTTTTGACATCTGTTGTCTGCAAGCCGTTTCCAGTTTTGTGGGTCGAAGTTGGTTCGCTTTGAGGTCACACTTGCAGACATCCTTAAAGCACAGTGTTGGGTGACTTACTGGACGGTGTACGGCAGCTAGCTCCCCGTACGTCATGTCTTTGGGAATACCGCCATCCTGTATGCGATGCACATGGCCGAGCCAGCAGAGCCGACCCTGGCAGAGGAGAAGGTATATGCTTAAACCTAACCTAACTAGCCAGCTTGTTCCAGCGTAGCAACATCGATGACTTTGTCTTATGGAGAATGCATGCTTGGTACACCTTGGGTTTGGTGTTGACAGTCAGCTGGTTGCTGGATCACACTCTCATACTCAGTCTGGCCATCACATTGGCAGCTTTGGAGATCCTCTTGTTGAGCTTACTGTCCAGAGTACCATCATGGTTATGGGGTTGTGTTRATGCATCAGAGCCAGTTTGACGTATCCTCGCTGACTGAACAATAACTCTTAGATTACACCAGTTTAATCTACAGACACTTGTCCAAGTCAGTTGGATTATACAGCAGTCATGTCATTCAACATATTACAGTCTAAATTTATGGTGGTAGTATTTTGTTWAATTTTTAAATGTTGGAACATCTAAAATAGGTCATTTTAAGAGCATATTCACACCTGACACATTTAAAGGGCCTATATTATGTGTTTCTCATGCATATATTTAAATACTATACCATAACAAAGTATTTATGTCACCTTTAGCTGTTATTAAAATGCTGTTTTATGTTTAAATAGAAAAATAAACTTATCTTCTCATGACTTCCTCTTCTAAACACCTTGAAATAAACAATTTACTTCTCATCTTGACAGTTTCTAAACGCCTTGAAATAGGTCTCTGTCTCTTTAAGAAAATCCAACCACCGGTCGCACCGGTCGCAGGTAGCCTGCCGGAGTCGCGGGGGACCTGTCCAGGGGCGTTTTTGGTCCCCAAAGGCGTTCCTGGTCCCTTCATGTCGTTTTGCTCCTCAGCATGGCTTCCTAAAAACACTGCAGGATTTCTCAGATATGCATGAATGAGTCAAAGCAAGGCTTTGGGCATGTTTTTATGAGAGTATAACATTATAACATGATATAAAACTCAAAAAAGTTGGTTTTACATGATATAGCCCCTTTAAACAGACCAGAGTTCATTTTCCCCATTGGTCCGGACCTTTTATGCAGTGTAAATACACTCAAGCAAACACTGGTGTGGACCAAACAACCGGACCAAGATCCATTTTTGAGGTGGTCTCGGACCGCTTCCAAACGAACTCTGGTGCGGTTCGCTTCTGGTGTGAATACAGACCAACTACAAGAAACATGCGCCTTTTTTGGACGTCATGAGCCACCATTGCTAAGCATCATGGTGTGTTGTCAACACTACCACTGCGCTACAAAAAACAAGCCGTTGTGGGTCAGGGAACATGGAGCAACACGTCTCCTTTGGGTTACGACGTGCATTTACCAACGCCGTCCCAAACACAATGTGAATGCAGAGCRAACCAAACAAAAAAAATTAAATCCACTTTTTGTCCGGAACAAACAAGTGGATCAAAGGACTACACCCTAAATAAAACAAACTATAAAGAGCTCACAAAGATCAAGCACCACAGATAATGTGATGAAACTTAAAATTAAAATACAAAGAAAAACTGAAATAATCTATTTCATGTCCCAAAAGCAGCCAGTACTTTTTTATTTGCAACTGGGATAAAATGAACAGTAACATGCATATTTAATCAAATTTCCTCCTTTTTTTTTTGTTTATTATCATCCACATACAAAGCAACAATTAATGAGATAGTACTTTTACAAAAACGAGCCATGCATGTTATTAACAAGTCTGGTTACTATAAACGTACAAATCCACTGTTTATTACATCTGGTGTCATGAAATTCTATGTTTTGGTTCATTACAAAATAATGCAAATAATGTTTGGAGAAAAATTAGGTGTGTTGCCTGCTGAGGTGCAAAGATTTTTTACAATATATGAATCTCAGTATGATCTGCGACATGTTATTAAATTTATAAAACGACAAGCTAAAAAAGAAATAAAAAGGAGGTTTTTTTCTGTTGTAGGAATTAAARTGTGGAATGATGCAAGCATGGACTTACGAGAATGTAGTTTATTATGGGTTTTCAAAAAAATTCTAAAAAGATATATATTTGAGGGTTACAAGTGAAAACAACTTTAAATTGTTATTGTATTTGTTTTGTTAAGGAGTGTTTGTTTTCTTTGTTTTTTCAGTTTTTTATAGCAATGATTATGAGGGGTAGTTTAGTTTCATTGGATGTGTGTGACAGGCATTAATATAAGCCTGTACCTTTTCAGTCAAAATGTTAACATTTTTGTACTGTTCTGTAATGCTTTGATTTGTTGCTGAACAATTTTGATAACTGAATAAACAATAATCAATCAATCAATCAATCAATCATTTGTTTAATTATTATAATTATATAACCAGTAAAAGTGGCAGCTGAGGCAAATTTCTCACCATTTCTTCTTCTCGTATTTATCCTGAAGAAACTCTTTAAACTTCTGCGAGTCCTTTAGGTCAGGGCAGCCGTCGGCCTTGGGGTCAAACACACACAGCCAGGTTCTTCTCCCAACCTGAACGCACACACACACACACATTTTACAGGTAAACACTAGGGCTGCTACGATTAATCGATTAATCGACAACTAATCGATTATTAAAATAATCGATGACTAATTTAATAATCGATTAATCGTTTTCGTTTTTTTTTTTTTGTTCTTTACTTTGTTTTTCTCTCCAAACTGCTTTGACACCTTCCACTGCCACATCTGCCTTT